GAAGTTGCACATAAACCAGTTTAAGTGATCAGAAACTGGTTTAAACCTGCAACACAACAGAAGCTCAGTGCACATAAACCAGTTTCAAAATGGCTAAAGCTGGTTTAAGATCCACCTGGTTGAATGTAGTATCAGATTCAACTGATTTGGGTCAAACCAGTTTATGAAACTTCTGTCTCAGACCCCTTCCTGGTTCAAGTTAAATCAGAGGCCCCCCAGCATCCCATCATATTTTGCAGCCCTGGGTTGGGCTGTGTGGTCTGCTCCAGAGAGCAGGACTGGCTGTGCCCCTCTGCTCCCTGGCTGGAACAGTGAGGGTGGCTGACAAGGGGGTAGGCGGGGCAAGCCTGGCTGGGGATGCAGCCCTGTCTGGCAGGGGGAGAGTGGGAGAGGAGGAGAAGAAACTGCCCCCTCCAGGCAAACTCCAGCTGGGGACTGGGGCCAGGGAGAGGAGGGGGAGGGGGTTAAACAACCTTCCCTGCTCAAACTTACTGCTGGCTGTGGACTACAAATCCCAGAGGCACCTGGAAGCAGGAAGAAGAAATGATAAGCAACCCTGCAGAGTCTTGCTGTTGTGATTTTTGTACTACAAATCCCAGAGACCTCAGGGACAGCAGGAAGAGGAAGTGAATATGTAGCCCATACTAGCTACATGTGAGAGATCCATGTTCTAGCACCCCCAGCTTCTAGCTGGAGCCACTGCAGGCATGTGGCTGCATTTCCTGAATCAAAGGTAAATAAATGTCTGTTCACTTCTGTTTCAATTTAATCTATGCATCTCAGACTAACTTGCAAAGACTAAATCAATTCAGCCTCGGGCTTTTTGACTTTCTGTACTTAGCCATGGAGAGAGGGCTCTTGCTACTAGGCCATTTGAGATATGTAGCTCTTTTTATGCAGGATTAAATGTCTGGTCTTATCATTGGGAAGATAGTTCATAACCATATTTCCAGTGACCTGGTACCTGTTTTAAATAAGAGCTGATACAACAGAGAAGTGTGAAACAAAGAAAAGTACAGCCTTTTTTACACACCAGAATTATACTTAGGTCTGTTTTTAAATGCAGCGGATAATGAGATGAGACTTCTTGTGTGCAACTTTAGAAACTCTTAGGCTTCCTTGCATGTCCTGGGCTCTTCAGGGTTCTACCGAATTAATTTCAGTGTCTTTTTTATCATCACACTTCTGAACAAAAGCTGATGGGAAAATACCAACCTTCCCATTGCACTGGCCTTCTAACCAGTCTTCATTCACTAGAAGATAAAAATTACACTTGTCACTCTGTGTAAGTTAAAAAAAACCCAACACAAACTACTGCAAACAGTTCCTGAGATAACCTTTACTGGGTAAGTAGATATGCTGAAAGGCTGGCAAAGATATGGCTAAAATAAAAAGGGGCTGATGATTAATGAGGTATTAAAAATAAATAAATAAAAACAAGGGCAAAAAGAGAGCTGGGCAGGGAGGCAGCATAGAAGGAGCAAAACCCTATATTAATGAGATCCCTTCCATATGGCCACCAGTTTATTTCCACCTTGTAGCAGGAGTCGGATCTAAGGGCAGCATATAGGTAAATCTTATTTGTATTCTGAGGAGTGCCTTTAAATCCTTTTCTTTCAACAAGTTCTCTGCCTCCTCCCCTTTTTTGCTCAAAGCCCTTGAGAGTAATGAAGTAGACATAGCAGCTCCGGTGCAGAGGACTCTGCCTCTTAACATTGTTTGTGCTCACCAGCATCCTCTGCTCACAACTGCAACAGCCTTGGCCTTGCGGTTGTATGGCAGGCACTGACTTGAGGGATCAGAACCAAAATACCAGCAAGGTCTAATACGCATCCTCACATATAATAATGTTTGAAATGTCTGAAATACCAGGCGTATATGAGGATGTGTACCTGATCTTTCAAAATACCAGCAAGATCTAAGTTTAATACAGAAGTTTACCTTAAGAGAGAGAGAATGGTTCAGTGAAGAAAAGAAACTGATTTAGGGAGAAGGACTTGGAAAATAAATAACTTCATTTTTTCTGAGACCGTGATGGTGGCAGAGATTCAAATTGGACATTCGAAGCTGTCGTCATTGTCGTGTCTCCCCCCTCCCCCCGGCCTCCGCAAAGGAAGAAGTGATCAATACATTGATACGTCGATTAAAGTTTGCAGCAAAGTCATTTAATCTTGGGAGCAATGTAAAATTTATATACGTCTATAACTAATAGATTATAGAAATGGCTGCCTGGAAGTGGATTGGAAAGGGAAATATAGTAACACTCCTATTGTGTGTGGACAGAACTTCTGCAGGGGAAGAATGGACCAAAACAATCTGGGAATAAGGGGGGAACTTTTGAGAGGTTTGCTGGTGTAGACTTGGCACTCCTTCACCTGCTGCTCAGTGGATCAGCTGATGAGTTTAAAATCCTGCCAGCTTCATAAAGCAAACAGTCAGTGGAGCAGAAGCTGCTTTTACTATAATAGGTTTGTGTCTATGAAAACAATGGATACCTTTGGAGTCCTGGGAACTCATTCTGCAGGTTTCAAATACAAACGCAGGTCTCTTAAGGGTGGGAAGTGAGGTGTCCCTCCCTTGACCATCTTAGCACAGGACTACCACTTGTTGAGCTAAGATCACACCCAACAGGCTCTACAAGCCTCCTTTAGTTAATTTGGTTTTTCTGAAAATGGTAAAATGTTGCAGTAGGTGTAGGGTGTTGCTGGGGGAGGAAGAAGAGGTGGGGAAGGAACTGAAAAATGAGAAACCTGTTGCCGAGCAGGTGGGCTGGAACAGCTGGAAACGGCAGACGTTTTTCTCTCTGGTTAATTTGCTTGATCCAACCTATGGCTCAGTAGGTTCCAAGCACAATATGCATGAAGAAGATGCAAGAAACTGAAAAAAGGGACTAATGATTTCTAGTAGAGTTGATGTGCTGAAGAGCTACTGGTGAGCATCAACCAACCAAATTAATTTTTAACGTAGTTTGGAAGTTCCTGTCAAAGTCAGTGGAAGCTCCTGCAGGTACCCTGAAATCTGGCCAGTGCTCTTACAAGGAGTATTGCATGTCAATGCCAGAAGAATATAGTTACCTTTGGATAGGATGAGTATCACATCTCCTGCCTGGAATTCTAGGTCCTCTGGCTGGGTGGCTTCATAACTGTATTGCGCTACTACTCTGTTTGCTAATTCCTCTTCTGATGTTGCTTTCTGGGTATCTTCCTCTGTTTTGCCATCTCCTGGAAAATCTTGATCTCCCTAGTAGAGAAAATAGTCTTTTTTTAAGATCCCTTTCACTTTTTATTCTTTGGTAACTCTTTAAGAAAGTAGGCAACTGAATCTTGCACACCTTGGGGGAATGATCAAGTCTGTCTGACTGTAAATTTACTCGAGTCAAAGTGAAGGAACCATTCAGGCCAATATGTTATAGTCCATTCAGACTTTCCCCACTACATAGTTCTTGGGCAATGGACTCATCTTTTCATGCGTCTTGCTAAATGAGCTAAGCCTGCACTTGTGTAAGAAGGGGGTAGTGAGAGTTTTTAAAACTGATTGGAACAAACTTGTTGTTTTCTTAATGCATGTATCCAGTACTGCTGTCCAGTTAGCTGTGGGACCATTTTTAAAATACAGTACATTTTCAAGTTCCCAAAATGACTGCTTCTGAAAACTGACTGTGAGCATGATACCAGGAGTCACTATGGAGGAAAGTCAGTGTTTAGGTTACTTTTGAACCTGGCCATGTCCTTGACTCCAAATCTAAAACAGTTTGCTACGAGCCCTGTCGGACTCAGTGAAAAGCTCTTCCAGAAATGCAAAGGAAGCTGCAAGCTGTAGTGCTTATTCCTCTGTCAGTGGTGAACCTGGTCCTCCCTGTGGCCAGAAGCACTCCTTTTTTTTTTCTCCAAGTTTCATCTTGGGGGGATGCAATGCATTATTAAAATCTGAGGCTTTTTGTGACCATTGAGTTGACAACCCTTTTCTATTTACCCAAAGTTTCAGCTCAGCAATTTAATTTAGATGCCGCTTTGCTGCACACCATAAAGCAGTGGCTGCTTCTAGTCTTAAGACAAGTGGCATGTCAGTGACAGATGCAATAGCTAAGTGATGTCAAAGATGGGGGTGGGGCTCATATGCATCCAGATGAGTTGGGAGCCTTGCATCAGAGGCGTTAAGGAAAAGTGCACAGTATTGAAAGTGGGATTTTTGCCTTCCACTCAGGTTTACTTTAATTCAGAAGCCATAAACTCGTGCTTAGGCTCCTGCTGCAGGAACACTGGCTGAGAGAAACGCCCATGGCTTGAAAGTGTCACTTCTCATCAGTAAAAAACAGCAAAGTGAGAGCTCCTAGTGTTCGCCAGCCATCTCTCAATTGTGAGGTTTATCTACAGGGCATGAGGAAGAATAGAGCTATGATCCCTGCAAAGAGCCCTTCCTTATATAAGAAGCACAGCCTGCCTGCCCAAGGGAGCCACTTTGAGTGACTAAGTATAAATAGCTTCCTCCCCACAACCCCACTGATGTAACAAGTGTTTGTAGAGAAACCTGTCCACCTGCATTGTTTCTGTCACTGTTCTTAACTTGTCCTATTTAGGCTTTTCAGTGCATGTTCTCAAGGGTCTGAATATCTCTTTACGGCTGCTACTGCACTTGTGAGAATTGTTCAACTTCCTGCAGTGTCGGAGGTGCCCCCTCTCTGTTTTTGCATTTGTCAGAGCTGGGTCTTCCCTGGTTGAGTTCTAGTGTAGGAAAAGAAAAAGCTGTATAGGTAAATGAAAGGTGCATTGTATGTGAGAGCAGGTGTGCAAAAATGTTACTTCTATTCATTGACTCTTTAAGAGGATTGGATTTGCATGGGATATCAAACATACGGTACCTTACAGAGGTGCAAGAAAGTAAGTTCTTTGGCTTGGGATTCTTGGGGTGATGGGCAAGGGCAGCTGCTCCCCCATTCTGGGGCTCCCATAGGGGCTTTAAAGCCACAGCCCTTTGTAGGGGAAGGCACATAATATTGCTAGTGATTTCTCTTTATACCATAAATATAAAGGTATTTTTAAAGAGATTTTTATATACACACACATTTAAAACAAACTTTTTTTTTCCCTCAAGTCACTGCTGGGAGTGGGTCTCCTGGGAGCTTTCACATAAGGTTCCCCCTGTCTGCAACCTTCCCACAACGTAGCTTGTGATCTCTTCCTCCCCACCCCCCAGGAGCTTTTTGTTCCCAGGCTTTCACACAACATCTGTCAACCTAACGTATTGTTCATCCCTTGAGAGAGACTGTAGCACAGTGTGGAGTGGAGTCAGAGGCCCTCTGAATCCTCGTGTGTGAGCAGCATAGGATGGGACACTACAGTGTGCAAGAGGGAAATCACACAGGCCAAGCAGGGCTTGGCGAAAGGGGGACTGCTTTACTGATGGCTCCTCTGGTCCCGTCTTCTAGCTCCTGATAACAATAGGGCTGGTGTTGGCAAACATCTGCTCATTGTACAAGAGCCCAGTCCTAATAATTAACTTGGGGCCAGATTTGAAAGAATTGCAAGTTGCTGTAATTTATCTCACACTGCCGTATTCCATAGCTCAGTACATGTTCCTCAGCTTCCTTAAATTTAGTCTTACCTGCTTCTACATAACCATCCCCTATTCACAGATTCTCTGAATTTGTCCCATTAATTCCAAGATTCGGGTTGCTGCAACTTGTGTGTTGAATGGCCAGACAAAAGGAATGCAGGGAGGAGGGTGGGGGGCACACCTGCTTCTGGGTCCATCAGTGCACAAGTTATTTGATGTAAGCTCCCTCATATTCACATGCTGGTACTGCTCCTTACAATTCTGACACACCTGGATTTTTCAGATCTTCCCTTTCAAACCTTCAGGTCTGAGATCAGTAACATAATGGGGGAGAAGTGACCAGGGCACCAGCTGTGGGTGCTGACTTGGGGAGGGCGAGAGGGGTGCGAAAATAGCAGCTGCTGCACTGCTGTTCCATGTACCACAACCACCCAGGGCAAGGAACTGCCCAGTTATACTTTTGTCCAAAACTCATACAGATATTACACCCATCTCAAGCTCCACCAGCAAGTGTTTCTGCTGAGAGCAACCTACAGATCCTGGCTGCAGTTGGTAAGCATTTTAACCAGCTGTTACTGACCTCTGTGCTGCCGCACCACAGTGTCAGACAGTGGTCTTTAGCATGGCTCCAGGCTGTCTTCATGCCCTCCTCACTCAGAACCATGAGCTCACCACTACCTGCAGGCCGGTACCTGGGCACAGGGAAAAATTAGTCCTGAACTGAAGCCCCTGGAAAAAGGATGATGCTGATGCCGGACAGCGGCTCACCTCAGTGTTGTGTGCTGCGTCAAGAGCTCCAGCTTCTTGCAGACCATGTCCAAAATCTCGCTGTAGGAGAGTTGAGGCGTGGCTTCCATTGCTACTGTGTACTTGTAGTGCACCTTGAGAATGTATGGGCTTGGGACAGCTGAGTCTCCCACCTGCAGGCAGTGAAATGGATCTGAATTGGCAATCTGTACATCAGCATTTACATTTGACTGACTGCAGATATGGAAAGATGCATTAGGAGGAGAAGAATGGGGCCTGCGTGAGCTGTACCTGGCAATAAAATATGAAACCATCTCTAGGACACTGTTTCAAGTCTGAGCTAAGTTGTTGGTAACCAAAAGCCTGTTAGCATCTGTTATCAGGAAGACCAATAATATGTGCACAAGTACAACAGGTGGCTTTATCCTTTTCCCAGCAGACTGGTATTCCGCTACTACAAGAAAGTCTAAACACCCAACACTGTCAGTTCTTAGAAACCCAGGTGTGTGAGCCATAGTGACAAACTCCTTATTTGATGAATCCTTAAGCAGGTTTGGGGTTATTTCAGGCAAATGGGGTGAGGTAAACATAAGCCTGTCCTGCTTGGACAGGGAAGGAGATAAAGGATATCAATAACTGATTCTTACTACAAGTGTAAAAAGATCAAGGAATCTGGCAGTCTTCACATGACATTTAGGTGCCCTGAGTCTTATCAAACATTTCAGAAAGGCTCTTAGCCTATAACTTCTTTGAAAAAGTCAAGCAGCTTTAAAAAGTTGCTAGTGCTACAGTGATTGGAGGTGCCCAAATGATCACCCTGATGTACAACAAATGCACACCCATATCATGGACACAGTATATCCACTGCTGAAGGACTTGAGTCCACAGATTCACCACAATGCAGGATTTGTTACCTTTGGCTCTTTCATCCGCTGTTTGTCAGAAGTAACAGGAACATGATCTGAATAGAACGGGAAGGCAAAGTAAACTGGTAAGTGACTGGACTCCAATTAGATAACTCTTGTCCTTTTGCATATGGAAATACATGCTCTGACCTGCTGCGGCTCCTTCCTGCATTACATCAAACAACAACAAAGCCCAGTAACTTGTTTAGTTTAAATTACCATTATCCTCTCTGTGCCTCCATTTCCCCCCTCTCTCCAGACTGCAGATAACCCTGTTTCATGGAGATATTATAAGACTAAATTTACAGAGGGTTGACTTCAGTGGAGCTGACACAGATTGCCCCGAGAAGGATCTGCTCCCAAGGTCCATGAAAGCTTTGACATTCTCAGTGAAATGTCCCACAGAAGTGCCACAGTGCTTGCTCTTCACTTTGTTCTAAGGATTTTGGTGCAATAAAAGTGCTTCTGGAGCTGAAGATTTCCTGAGACTTACGACTCAAAGACGGGTTAAATTTTATAATTGATCGGCTAAGCTTGCAGGGTGATTCACTGTTTAGGACTGGTAGGGGATTGAGAAGTATTTCTCTGTGGAAAACATTTTAGAAAAAAAATGGAAGGGCATTTTTCAAGTTTTCAAAAAAGGCTGAAATTTGCTAGGGAAAAAACCCAACAACAACCACATTTTCATTTTAAATAAACAAGTCTGTTTAATGAAAATTCAGCCACGTCCTTCTGTTTCCTTTCACCTTAATGTGGCTTTGTTTGGGGCAACAGACTTTATTGAGAAAGTGAATGTTCTGTTCCAAACATGCCAGTTGGTTTCTGCCTGAAACCAGCCTGTTTTAAAGAAAGCTTTGTTTGGCAGAGCAAGATTGCAATTGGCTATTGCCACCACCCTGACATATTGATAGCCTCAGCAAAGGCCAAAAAGTAGCACCCTAGAAGTTGTCTTCTGGATCCTGACGGACACTAAATGCTACAGTTGTTCTGCAGATGTCTGTTCCCTCCCTGTCCTGGGGTTATGAAGCATTTCACTCTTCAGGGTTGTCGACCCAGCATATTCACCAGCACAAAACTTAAAATTCAATTCAGACTAAGGGCTTTAGTGACTATTGTGTGCATCAATGTTTTATGGGGACTTGGCTTTCAATATCCATGCTTTTCCATGTTTTGGCTAGAGACTGTGTACACTTAACTTGCATGTACATGTTTCCTGTACATGTTAAAATTTTCAGTTCTCTAAGGTTATTCTACATACCAGGAGTTACCGGGAGAAACTAAAACTACCCTATGAATATGAGCAGGGTTAAAAGATTAAAGAGCTCAGGTAAGTCTATGCAAAAACATTCCCTCTGCAGTGTCCAGTGCGTGTCTTCCTTGTGGTGCTGAGCATTTAACCACAGGTATTAATCTAAAGTAACACCAGGATGCTAAGAACAGCTGTCTCTGTTAGGCAGTTTCTGTTGGCTAACAGAAAAGTCTCTGTAGTGTGGGTCCCCTAGAAAAGTCTGGATTTTGGACTTTAACAAAGGTTTCAAATCTGGGAATTGAGGCCACTCGCTCCCCACCAATTATTTTGGATCTTGTACACTTGTCTAAATCTTTCCTGGCTTAAACACTGTGAGGTAGCACAAGGCGTACCCTGTTGCAACAGTTGTCCAGTCTGCCACTGAAGGTGTCCTGCTTTTATGTTCTTGTGGCAAATAGCTCCAATTTACTCTTGAACCAGAGGACAGTGTCCTTCCTTGTGCCTAGAACCCAAAGCACTTCCACACCTTCACAGAGGTCACTAGCCACTCCTCCTTTCAGGCCAAGCCTGTTAAATCAGTGTGGCACTGGAGATCACCAGGACATAGAGGAAAGTCATCCCTTTGCTTAGCAGAAAAATACCCCACTGCAAACAGCTCCATCCTAAGTGCTACAACAAACGAAAGAACAAGTGCAACCCCAGGTAGCAGTACTGTTTGTTCTTTTGCTGAATTCCCTGTCCTGAGGACTGAGCAAACTGGGTTCTCCGAGCTCCCTTGCTTTGGCAAAGTCTCTACTTTGTGCCTCCATTTGTCCATCTGTAGAATGGGGGTGCCCTGTACCCTGAGCCTGCAGCACCCAGGTGAGTCATGTGCATGCTGCAGGGAGGTGCAGCTGCAAAGGGGCTCAACCTCATGCCCTGATGCTCAGCAAGCCTTTTGGGGTGAGTCTGACCACCTGGACAGCATCCAAACAGACAGACCCAAAGGCACTTAGGAGCACACATGACTTTCAACCTCAAAGGGACTTGCCTTAAGTCACTTGCAAGTCCCACCCCTGCTTGTGTCCCATTCTCAGCCTCATACAATACTGCAACCGAGTGAGGGACAGGCTGTGTCCCTGGCTGCAGCAGCAATGGCTGCAGCTGGCTGGGGCAGACACAGCAGAGCAGGGGATGCCTGGGAGTGGAAGGACACACTGTGAGGTGGGTGATAGAGCCAGAGTGCCTGGCCCTGAAAGATCTGCCCACAAGCCATTGCTCCCTGGGTACTTCCCAAGGGTCCGTGGTTACTGACCTGGTGCTGCCTGTCTGGGTTTTTCTGGAGCATTGAAACTGGGTGGGTCAGGGATGTCGAGCTCTGGGGATTTTTCCTCCTGTGTGGGATGCAAAAGTAGTTAGTGTTACCATGACTGGTCAGAGGACACTTAGTAGGGGGAGCTCCAGGTAGCTGGGACTCCTCTGCTCTCAATGGGAGCTTCCCTGTTAGCACAAGAGATGCAGCTGCTGCTTTAGTGGGGTAGGAGCAAAGTATCCAATTACTGCTGAGAGATGCTGCTTGCAGGTATCCTAGTCCCCTGCTTGCAGCTGCACTAGTCCTCTGGAGTAAAATGGCTTCCTGCTGGAGAGTTGCCATTCCCCTTCCGTGATTCCCCCCCCTCTGCAGCACTGCTAGTTTGCCAGACTGTCTTACCCACTGGTGAGGTCTGTTCTGTAACTCCACCGCCTCAAGGTAGTTGTATGGAACGATCCCTTTCTGGGAGGAGGAAAAACAGAGAAACTGGGGCGTGTTTATACATTCATGTCACAATGTGGTGACAGCTGTGCCAGAGAAGAGCAGGTCTACTTGGTCCAACCCCTGCCCTTACTCTGGGCACGACCCCATAGCCCTGCAGGGCAGTTGCTGCAGAGTTTTAAAAGTTTCTCTTGAGCCTTGAGGCCTCTTTCAATTCAAGCTGGTGTCTGAACAGCCTCCCAGGCTCTGGTTATGTTGTCTCAGCAGGGGAGGAATGTTTCCTTGTTCCTTGACCCAAAGCTAAGCACAGGGAGGCACCCCTGCATGGTGTATGCTCCTCTCTGATCAGACTGATGAGTTAGGAAGGTCGTGTGCACTGACATGACTCCGGGGTGAATACATGTGGGGCTCAGATGCTGGCTGATGGAAAGTAACAGAATGACAGGGGGTGTTGTTTAAAGAACTCCCCTACTGACCTAAGGCACCCTCAGAAACATCTGCATTCACAGCACTCCTCAGCCCAGCTGTGTTGGTAACAAGATCTTGGTGATGTGGGTCAACTCCAGTGCTTCAGCCAGAACAGAACAAAACATGAAGCAACCCAACAAGCCAGACTGCCCAGGCCCTCATAAACGCTACCATTGGCCTTGTAGGTCCCTTGTGTTGGATACTCTGCAAGTACCTTCCCGTTGAACATAACAGTGGCCCAGTTGTCAATTCCCCTGTTCAGGACAAAGACGATGTTCCCTGGAAGGACTGCCAGTTCCTCAGAAGTCTCGGGCGTGAACTCGAACAGGACTCTGTGAGGTTCTCCTTCCAAAGCCCTGCATGGGGAAGTGATGGCTCAGTCACTTAGAGCTGGGGTGAAAGCCCATCCCCTTTCCATCATAGCAAAGTGCAATTCTTGGGGGTCTCACTTTCCTGGTCCCTTCCCCTGCCCTTACTCTCACTGGGTAAAAACAATACCTTAATCAACCCCTCTCTGCTCACCCTTGTGGACTCAATGGGAAGAGACTGAGCTGGAGCTTGTTGGGATGCACCCCTCATCAATTAAGCATCTGCCTCGTGCATCATCCCTGTGCATAATTAGCACTCTTCAGCCACAGACTACAAAGAAGGGTAAGTGAGACGTAACCTCGCCTCCCTTTTACAGGTAGGGAAACCAAAGCACAGGGATAAAGTGATTTGTCCAAAATCATCTAAGCAGGAGTAGTGGCAGGGCTGAGAAGAGAAGCCAGGACTCCAGACTCCCAGTTCAGTGCCCTGTCCATTACAAGATGCTGTGTCCCGAAAGCAAGACTGGACAGAAATTCAACTGAAGTATGGTGGAAGCAGTGAAACACTGTGTGTGACTTGCAAAGGGAGCATGTGTGAGCTGAAGTCAGTGAGGGAAATAAATATGGACTCATTACTATGCCCCTTTTCCATGGTGCTTTAGCTAGGGAATGATGTGTTGGGTCGGCCCCCTCAGGTGTTAGGCTGCAGAACTGTGTAGAGTTGCTATTACTGAGGCATGGAAGTTGCTAACAGACAAACAAAAATGTGGAGTCTGTGCTTCTGTATGGGTATGAAACATGTTGCATTTGTCCTGAGATCAGTTGTGTCTCTGCTTGTCCTGGAACAGAAAAGTCAAGGGATTGTGTGTACACACATCACCCTTCCAACTGGGGTTTAGCTAGCATCTGAACGCAATGTCACTTTTCTGCCATTGATCCAATTATGCAATTCTGGGACGTCTGTTTAGACAGGGTCCATCTTGAGACACTGGAAATGAATGTCTATTTAATCACAATTTGTCCCAGGAGAAAATGTATTTTCCCACAATAAATGCAACTCTGGTCTATAACCCAAGTGACTCAATTTGCTCCTAGGGGACTCCCTGCATGCAAGTACATGCTCTCCTCAAATCCTTCTGTCATTCCTTCAGCCTGCAGCTTATAGATATGTTCACACAAGGCAGGAATATGGATTTTAGATCTATGCAAGTCTGCTGTTCTTATTCCTGTTAATACCATTTTGAATACAACCAAGGCCATTCTAGGGTAGATCAAAATCTAAATGTAGCTTGAACTGAGGGTGGGGGCTGTAACAGCGCAGACCTGATACTTGGGAGAGGGACAGCAAACATTAATACTGTTTTCCATATCTACCAAACCAACCCTGTGCAACTCTTGCATGCACCAGTGCTTTCCAGTCTCCCACAGAAGAAACAGCATTATAACCGTTTTACAGATGGATGTAAAGAGGGGGAATATTGACTTACTTGAGGTCTGTATAGCTAATCAGTGGCAGGGATGGGAAGAACTCAGCAGTCCTGATTCCCTGTTAAAGCCATCGCTTCACATTTGGGTAGTAACACTAAGTCACAAGATTGTCATTCTCTTGGTTTAGGAAGCCACTGGATCCTTAAGATGGAATCCACAGAGCAGCTGTCTATTTTACTGAGATCCAGTTTGGGCATCGTGGCCTGGCCCAAATCACCCTCCTCCCCTCAAATGCACTCTCGATTTCTCTGACTGTGAGCCTGCAGCTACTGTTCCCTAGTAGCGCCCTTCCCCTCTCCTAGCCCCAGTGCTGTTTTCAGAATGGGAGGGGGGGGAAACAGAGAGGAGGGAGCTCATTCTGGGAGCTTCAGGGAGGCTCCAATCTACCTGCTCCAGCACTGGCTGAGAAAACCCTAGACCGAACTCCCTCTGCTCCCTTTTCCCCCCTCCCATTCTGAAAAGAGCACTGGGTCTGGGAAGCAGTGTAGACACAAGTTACTGAAGCCACTCCATTTTGGAGCACCTTCATCTGAATCCTCATGCAATGATTTTTGTAGGATTGGGCCCTTTTAAAGAGCCCTACAGTTGTGCACTTGTGTTTGGTCATGGTTGTAGAGTGCTTTCAGGGGCCAGATCAGGTGAAAAGTGTAACTTCTGTCTGTGCCTTGTGATTGTAATTTAAAACCAGAGCCTTTAGCTCACATATCTGCTGCTTATGGCATTTCTCTAGCCCTACTGCTAGCCTGTTTGTTGCAGTGCTGGGCTTAAGCTAGTCTCTATGTCTTTACATGTTGTTTTTTATCTCCTGGTTTTCATGTTGCTTACCTGAGGATTTCTGGTGTCTTTGGTCGGGGTGGAGGATCTAAGGCCTGCAAGCAAACAAACCAAATCCTACATAAACCTACTTGGTTCACACCCTCCACAGAGGAATCCCTCAGGCCTTCAACGTTTCTGAAGCCCTTCTCCAACCAGTTTTTTTTTTCTCCCACTAATTATTTTTTCAACTGAGGTGATTTCAAAGCTCCAAGAGGCTAGCAATATTAAACTGGGCCCCAGTATTCACTCCTAAGGTGGTGTCTTAGCAACTTCTTACCATTCTGTGAATTGCCTGCTTATACTTACTATGGGGTTAATTTTGGCACACACCAGGAAGATAACATGACCCCATGATTACCACACTTCCTTGACAGCCTCTTGAGGAGCTGTAATGAAAGCCTTTTGGGTGGCTTAAGGACCAGAATAGATCTTAATTTCTCAATAAGAGCAAATGACAAAAGTCTCAGAGTCAGAAAACTGTGACTAGTAGAAGAGAGAGAGGAAAAAATAAAATAAAAAGAGAATTACACTAATCGTATGAGAATTTCAGTAAGTTTTACTGAAAGCCATCCATGCCCATATCTCTTCCCTTACTCACTATAGTGCTGAACGGGCTACCATGTTTCCAGCCAATATTTACTCACCTGTGGCTGAAGTGGCGCAAACCCTGAAAAATTATCCTTGTCAACCACAGATGCCACAACCTGGAGCCAAAGAAGGACATTTAGTTAGTTACGTGGTTATTATTGGCTTTTCCTCAGCTTTAATTCCTGCTCATATCCTGCTAATTCCTACTAATATCATTCTCTTGCTTGCTGCTTGCTCTGATCCAAGCAAGTCATGTCCAAGACTCCATAGATTTGGAAACTCCTAGCTACCTGCCTGCGTTTCAATACATTCTTGTCTTTGCAGGCAGTATGTTGCTCAAGTGTTCCTAGCACCGAGGAACATCCAGGTGCTAGGAACTGCTGTGACTTCAGGCTAAATGCTTTGCCAACCATACTCTAGTTCAGTAGGGTACCTAAACCCATCCCAGAACTGAAATCGGCTTTCAGCTCTCACCGTTAACACCTTCAAGGGGATCCTGACAAGTTAACATTAATTTATATCATTAATTTCTGATGCTCAAAGGAATTACATTTCTAAATCCCTTTCAGTGTTATTGGAGCACCTCAATAGCCCTTAGGCTTTTTTGAAAATCCCAGCCTTTAAAAAGTCTCTCTCCATGTTGCTGACCGCCCCTTGGAATATTTGATCTGCTGGGGTGATGCCTGTCTGATCCACTCTGCACGTCTGCCACTGCTGCTTTGTTTTTCTGTTTCCATTTTTCTCTGTGTCTCATGAACCATAATATTTGGCTTTCACCAAGTAAAAGAAAATGCTTCTTTTATTATTAACATATTGACCCCTGTCCCAGTTCAGCTGTGGCATGGCCTTTGTGGAGTTTGTTTAGGGGCATTTGATCAAGAAAACTTGGAAATTCTCAAACCAAAAGCATGCATCATATTTGACTGGCACGTGCCTCCAGAAGCATTTCTGAATCAGCTGTGGTGGATCAGTTCCAGCGAAATGCTAAATGACTATTTCCTTGTGTCCAGCTAAGGGCTGAGAGAATCAGGGGTAGGAGGGGGAATCATCCTGCAAACAGGTGCATGCAGCTTCTAAATTTGGCCACAGAGTTTTACCTCTCAGTTTCCTCCCTCAACATCTGCCTCAGCTTCTTGGGGCAAAAAGCGTCTGCCACTGTATTCTGCTCATGCTCTCAGCACTCAATGCAAAATGAATAACGGTGATGATTTCCTGGGCAGAGACCACCCCATTGTCCTCCTCTCATATTTGGCTTGAAAGCAGTATGTGAACTTTTTCCTACCGTAGCTTTCCCCAGGTAATCTTTCTTCTCCAGCTGAGCCACTTGCTTCTCATTTGGCCTAAACAGCTTCCCCAGGGGGATCACCACTGGCTCAAATAAATTTTGCTTCTGTAGCATACAGAAATCATAGGGACATGTTGAAAGCACAGACAGTTCCAGCATTGCCCACCTTCTAGCTCTGCATGTAGCTCCCTCTGGGTGAATTTGGCCCGTGTGCTACACAGCTTCAGTCCTAGGCCTCCCAAAAACCCTTCATTCACATTTTCCCCATATGCTGCAAAACCCATGTTCATAAATCAATCCACAGCTCTTGGCTGTTTTTGTAAAGTTTCTGATACAGGATAGTTCCCCTTCTTTATAGACTTCAGTCTCTTTTATCCCTATAAGCCCCTGGCTTTTTCAGCGGCAGCTAAGATGGCCATCGAGGTACCTCAAGGATAGAGGAGAGTTGCATTTAGTGCAACTGTCCCCACCACCATGAACGTTGCATGCCTCCCGAGGCTGGGGGGGGGGGTAGCAAGCTCCCGCAGGCGGTAGTGGCAGTGAGCGAGGAGCTCCCACAGGCAGCCACAGTGGTGTCAGCGGTGGGGGCAGGCCGAGCAGGGAGCTCCCGTATGTGGCCGCAGTGGTATCAGTGGCTCAGGGGAGGGGAGGGGGCCGGGTGGTGAAAACTAGAGGACATAAAGGCGTCCAGTTTCATATCAATAGAGGACAAAGGACCAGAAAGCTGGACTGTCCTCTATAAAACTGGACTAATGGCCACCTTAGTGGCAGCCCAGGAAGGAATCAACACGCGGAGAAATTATTCTTTACCAAAATGGCTTGCATAGCCTTATCAATCTTGTTGTGTCGAGGCTCGCTCTTCAAGCTCGTTGCCAAGATGAGGTGCTCTTCTGCTTTTTTCCAGTCCTCCAGTTTGGCATAGACCAGAGCTATGTTGTATAACACCTGCAAAAAGGAAATTTGTTAAGAAAAACAAAGGCTCAATGAATGGAGGTTCTCAAGTGAACCAGCCTCTAATGAGGAGTGCCTTAAGCTACTGTCCCTAAAAGCAGTAGAGAACTCAGAGCCGAGAGAGCCCCATGTGCTGCCAGTGCTACCTGCTGTTTGAAGATACTCCAAGGGCTTTGTTGAGTCTTATTTTCCTAGAGAAATCTTCTAGAAAGCTCCACCTGGAGGCAATGAGGTGATGTTTGTTAATACAGGGTGAGGGGAAGCTAGGCAGGACTAGCTTCCCGTTCCAAAGATTCCTAGTCTCTGCTTGCCTCCTCTCATAAATCAATCACTTGCTTTTTCGTGAGGACATGCAATCTGTCACGCTTGCTATCAACTCACTTTCCTTCTTATTGGGTTTGGGTACAAAGAAACATCAGCTAATTAATTAGCTCTAAAGTTACTAGTCCTAGGGACCAGCCTCTAATTTCTTCCATGCAAGCTCTGAAGGCTGAATGTTGGCTTGTCGCTCATATATGAGGTCAGGGTGCAATGGTGCACCCACTCCTTGATTCCTGGCCCACCCAAATTTTAAAGCCAACTGCCTGGCAGGTGCAGTAGCAATGAGGGAGCCAACTGACTTCATGGCTCCTTGTAAACTGCCTGATTCCTTCTATAGTCTTGATTCTGCCTGTTTCTCCTTTTTAAGTCTCGATGTTCCACTAATCAAGCTACCCTTTCTTCTGTAGTTCTACTGTCTGTTAGCTGTTTTTAACTCTATCTAAAAACACTAACTCAGCTGTAGAAATGTTAACTCAGGTGAACGTTTATTCAGCTGTATAAGCAACTTTCAGTGCAGTACTGGATGCATTATCAGGATTCTCAAGAAGGCTAGATTTTGTTTTATGAATCTGAAAAAATATACATTTTATTCTAATGGCTAATGTTGCAGGACTAATGCAACAATATCTTTGGGTTATTTTGGCCAAGTTTGTTGTGTTTTTTTTTTTTAATACAAAGTACATGATATATAGCAAATTAATGCATGTTGCAGTTAAGTTATATTTGGTTTTGCTTTGATCTTAAATGGAATAATATAGCCCTTAGGCCCTTAGCATATTAGTAAAGTCTCTAGTTTCTTTTTAACTGGAGAAATATGTGTTGCATTATATTTGATGTATCACCTCCCACCTTTTTCTCTTCCTATATGGGGGCCTCATGTCTGAGTTACACCCACTGGCTGTGTGGCATTGGATTGCAATATATCTCCACCACTTAACTTCTTGTGCTTTGTGGATAGCCTTGCTTGTTTCAGTGTCACATTTCCCGTATGCTCCTTACCTCACAAGCAAACAGCCTGAACTGCAGCCCCAGGATCTTATAGTCTATCAGCAGGTTCCCTCGCAGTTGAGCCAGTGCTTCTTTAAAGTCTTCGACTGCTGAATCATAGCTGTAAAGCAAAGTTAATAATCTGTCAGGGTCCACCAAGAAAAGGGCAGGGCCTTTTGCTGGCTGGGCTGCCCGGTGCCTTTCAAGAATGCAGTCTTGTTCTCATCCCGAGTCACTTGGCCAGCTAATGGCATGCCAATAGCCTTTTACCACAGCCCAAGCCCTTCATCCTGAATCATTCTTGGGAGAAAAGAGGCTGTCCAGATCTAGGCAATTGTGTTCTGACTCTTCATTGGCCAATTGTGCTTGCCAGTCTCAAGACTTTTGAGTCTGTTACCTGCATCTGCTTTAGACCCAAAGCTGTGACCAGTGTTAATATTATTGTGTATCATTTATATTCTGGTTGTGCTCCATCACATTAGGTGCTGTGTACACTCCCTTTTGTAAAGGTTTCTTATATAGGATTTAGCTAATTCTCTCATTGCTTTTAAACACACACTGGGAAATTTTTGAGGCTCCCAAGAATAGTCTTCATCCATAGGTTGGGACCACTGCTAAGCATGAGATAGTATTTACCTTGTTAGGTGTGTTCTGGCTCCAGTTACCTCTGCAGCATTCCAGCATGACTGACTTGTCAAAAGGCTTCTCTGCCAGTCAGGGAAACAGAGTTTGACTTTTACACACCCACCCACCTCACTTCCATTAGGGAGTTTCCAATACTTACTTTTCTCTCTCGTAAAATACTGTTCCTCTCTGGAAATAGGCCACAGCCAAGTGCTTGTCGCAGTTAATACTCCTGGCAAATGCCTGCAGGGGATAGGAGATGATTCATACATGAAACCTATTCCCCAGAGAGAAGTTGCAAAGGGAGACCTGGATATGGAGTATAGGGATGGGGAGAAGGCAGCAGCTGCAGCTGCGGCTAGTGCTGCGGTAGAGGGGAGAGTGGAACAGAACCTGGCATGTGCGGTGCTCGCCTTTGACTGGTAGGAGGCATGAAACCAGCATCTCAGGAGAAGGGATGAAATGAAGGATGAAATGGAAAGGGAAACGTGGAGAGAAGGAAAGGGATTGTACCTCCTCTCTCCACCCTTCAGCTTTGGCTCTTGTGTTTCACCTGGCCAGAAGCCCATAAATTAAATACCCACCCCCTTGCCCCGCCCAGCACTGAGCAGCAAGAATTAAATGAAGTATGTGACCTATTGTGCTGTAACTGTCTCTTCATCCTGCTCAGGACAGGTCTATCAATTGCTGGGCCATCCTCCCTAATAGACCATTAGTCACTATGTGGCTGCCTGTTGGTGTGAACTGTCAGGTTGGCAAATACTCCATGTGGCATCATCTGGTTGGCTGAGCACTGGCTGAGCTGCAGCACAGAGGAGTTCTTCCCCTTGCACCCAGCCAAGCCAGCTTGCCAGCTACCTGACAGGTTTGTGCCGAGTGCCCTTCAGCCTGTCAGGCACAGATGTGTCTGACCTGCGAGTCAGGCTGTCAGTCATTTCATCATCAGTCTACTTCTGTCAGTCCTCTCACTTGTCAGTGGGCCCTTCAGTCTATCTGGCAGGGCTGGGTGTGCCGTTAAGTCGGATTTGCCTGTAAAAGAGGCAGGGGCAGGAGGAATCGAGATGCTCTTACTCACCTGCTCTGCCTCAGCCAAGTTCCCCAGGATCAGATGGATGGAGCCAATGTTAAAGCAGAGTTTGGAGGAGGGGTTCTGAACTGAAGCGAAGGCCTCCAGCGCTGCTCTCCAGTCCTTCTGATCGGCAGCGCGTACCCCGTCATGCCATAGCTGGATCGTCTCAGCCAGAGACATGGTTCCTCAGGAGCCTTCAGTGGGGTATCTGGTAGTGCGATGGCAGGTCTCCCCACAACTTGGAGTGGCTTTTCCTTACTCTGGGCCCTCTTTCCTCTGCACTGCAGCTCGGCCAGTGCACTTCTACTTGTACTTCTGTATTCCCTCCAGCACCCACACAGTGTTCAATGTCGCAAACTTATCAGGAAGTGTCTACACTTGCCAATGAAAAACAGCCCTGCTGAGATGGGGAAGTACAGCAAATGCTGGCTGACGTGAATCCGAGCAGCCCCTTGCTGTGTTATTATAAATCCTCCTCCTCCACCCATGGCTACTCGCCTCTTTTGATTTTTTTTTTTTGCCTCATGGGATCTATAATTTGAGGCTTATGTTTGGCATCGCACTGCTGTCAGTGTAGTCACAGTTGAGTCAGAGTTCATCAGTGATGTGGCATAGAGGAACTGGGGCATGAAGAAAGAGGGTCCTGTCATGGGCTCCCTGCAGCCATGTTCCTTTTAAAGGAAGCGCGCACACTCTTAACTTCCAAAGGCAGCACCTAGCTGCAGGCTGGTTGCTGATGGGAATTCCCCAAAACCTCTGTTGAGAGTGAGAACTCAATTAGGCTAATTATGCAAATGCTCTCTTTGATCGGTGGGGGTCTGTCCCAGTGCTAACCATTAGCCTTCAGCCCAGCTCCAGGTAGCTAAATATTAATAAGCTCCCACCAAGAAAAATCACAGACTCTCATGAACCATTCAACAGCTCGACTATATTAAACAAACTCAGAGAAGATACCAAAACAACAGGTACGTATGAAAAGTGATTAATACAATTATACACGATGGCAATTACAGGACTATATAGACAAGTTGGGGAAGAAACAAAATTTTGAAGGGTCACAGCTAGGGACTGCACTTCAGACAACGCTTATCTCACTTAACCACATACAACACAACTTACAACAATTCTCAACAACAGCAACAGCAAGTAAACCAGACCAGTCCCAGGTGCACCAAGCACAACACAACTTGCACTCCACAGATGCACAGACACCCACCAACGCACACGCAAACTCACATGTGTGCCTGTAGATGCAGCTTCTCAGCCTATTTAACTCTCTCAGTCACACCACTCATGTCAATCTGCCACTCATCCAATCATTCAGGAAGGAAGGCTGCCAATCTCATGCAACCATACTGCTGACCCTACCTGAGGTATAGAATACCATACCACACATTGGCAACATTTTCCCACCAAAACTGTATTATACAGTATTGCCAACCCCACCATGCCAAAAATCATGAGACGAACTCTTAAAAAAATCAAGAGATTGGCACGTAAATCATGAGATGCTAGTTTTGAAGTGTGCGTGTAAGGGGTGTTATTTATGAAAGTGTTGGGGGCTGTGGGTGTGTGTGTGGGGTTTGGAGCCCAGGGAGGGAGGGTCCCCGCACACCCTGGCAGGATACGAGGTACTGTGGGTCAAGAGTGAGAAGCAGCAGCAGGGCTGGGTGGGCTGTGGCTTGGGAGCGAGGAGCAGATAGACAAAAATACAGACACACAGAGACACTGATAGACACACAGACAGCACCCAGCTGATAAGTAGAGGGAAGGGCTAGGGGTGGGGCAGATTGAGGCCCCCATGGTGATGGAGGGAGTGGGGCAGGGGTGAATGGGGCCCCGGTGCTGGGGCAGATCATCCAGAGGTGCAGGGGAGGGACACTGCTTCCCACAGCAGCGAACACCCCTGGGGGAGGCATGGGGGCATGTGCCCCCCCTCCCCATGGGGCAGAGGTGGACTGCCCTCTGCGGGCTGAGGCTCTGCACCCTGTTGCCTCACCCCAAGAGCTCAGCTGTGTGATGCCATTGCTGCCTGCTGGGTGGGCAGGGGATGTGGGGTGCGCTGGCACATCTCCTGCCCACCCAGCGGCAGGAGGCACACTGGATGTGCGGCTGAGCTCCTGGGGCAAGGCAGCAGGGCACAGAGGCCCAGTCCACGGTGGGCACCCCACCTCTGCCCTACTCTCCCCCTCCCTACCCCTTTCCCTCCACTTACCAGCTGGGAAAATCCAGAGATCTGAGGGTTGGATCCAAAGATCATGAATCACAGTTATTTTGACTTTGAAAGCCTGAGTCTCACCATGGTTTTGCAACAGTTGGCATTACTGAGTATATAATAGAAGCTGACTGTATGCTCACATGTCTAAAGTAGGCAATGGACCTATAAAGTTAAAAAGTTTTTACTATATACAAGGGGACACTGCAGCTAGGGCCAACAGTTGCCAGCAGCCCAGCTGGTAGCATCATCTTCACTGTCCTCCAAGGGTAAGAAGAAGGTGGAGTACATTAAGCTCTTTTAGCAGGCTCAGGCAGGGGTAAACCAAAAATACCCTTGAAATAACCGTAAAATGCTGCTGAGTATGTACCTTGGTCACATAGACAAGGGTGTTGTAACACCTTCAACTGCTTACAATGGCTTCCTCCTCCACAAATGTCTTCAAGTCCCGTTGGCATGGGGAAGATGGACTGGTGTCTTCTCAATGGGTATGTTCAACCTGAGGCAGTTTTCTTCCCATGTATAAATCCTTGAGCAACATTAAAACATGGCTAAGGCTTGTAATAAAGCTGACTGAGTTGAACTATAACCAGGATATTAATCAGGAGGTTACAATGTTTTGTGTGCTTCAGCACTTCAGCAACACTGTGGCCCATATCAGGAATGATTACACCTGGTTTTTGCTAGCTCCTCATGGGTATCTACCCTTCAGTGCGATCTGCAGACCTAATGCAGTGTCCTTTTTCATCTTTCTCACTTCCTCAGATGTTCTTATCTGATTGCCTCATTGCATGGTCCGGTCCTGGCTAAGATGAAGAAACAAAACGTGTTTTAATCAGTTAAGGGACTTCCTTGATGTAACTGGTTGCTTAACCTCATAAGAATGATTGCATCTCTTATTAGCAAATTAGCTGAAGGTATGAAGATATTCCCAAGAGTGCTGCAAGTTAAAGAGCTGAATACATTGTCAGGTGCTCTCTCAGCCATGGGGACTTCCCCAGTGGCTCATGGAATTGGGATCAGGTCTCTAGGCTTTTTTACTGCCAGCTGGCTGGTTTGTATCTGGTTCAAGCAGGTCATAACAAAAGTCACTACTCTCTTATGACTATAAGCCTATGGAGTATGACCTAGCTTTTGCTACTGCCTAATAAAGAGGTGTTTGCTTCATAATGTGACTGCTAAGTTTTACATGCTGATTATCTGCCTTAGCAGAGAGGTCAAACTCTGAATAGGCCATACAGCCTAGGCGGGCTTTCCTCCCAGTGTAACTCTGGTCCTGGGGACAGGATCAGGTTTAGTTAATCTTGGGGTGAGGTTGGCATGTTTTTACCTTAAAAGCTAATTGAGGTCAACCCGAAGGAATAGACTTGGCTGACTTCAGCCAGCTCCTTGAGGTAAAAGCTATCTGGCTGAGCCTTAGCTGGGAAAAGGATCACCCCAGAGTAAGGGAAGCTTCATAGTTTCATAGTAGCTAGGGTCAGGAGGGACCTGAACAGATTATCTAGCCTGATCCCCTGCCACAGGCAGGAATGAATGCTGGGTTCACAAGAGCCCAGACAGATGATCATCTAACCTCTTTTTGAATTTACCCAAGGTAGGGGCAAGGACCACTTCCCTAGGAAGTTGGTTCCAGATTCTGGCCACCCTAACTGTAAAATATCGCCTCCAGATCTCTAACCTAAACCTATTCTCCCTCGGCTTATTACTATTGTTCCTTGTCACCGCAGGTGCTTCTGGGGAGAATAGGGCTCTTCCTATTTGCTGATGATCCCCCCCAATGAGCTTGTAGGCAGCCACCAGGTCCCCCCTCAGCCTCCTCTTGCCAAGGCTGAACAGGTTCAGGTCCCTCAGTCTCTCCTCATAGGGCCTGTCCTGCTGCCCTCTCACCAAACGGGTGGCCTTCCGCTGAACTTCTCCAGGCTGGCCACATCCTTTTTAAAGTGCGGCACCCAGTACTGAACTCAGTACTCCAATTGCGGCCTGACCAATGTTGCATAGAGTGGGGGCATCACTTCTCTGGACTGGCTTGAGATTCATCTTTGGATGCATGACAAGGTATGGCTGGCCTTGCTGGCTGTGGTCTGGCATTTTTGGCTCATTTTCATCTTGGAGTCAATAATGAAGGACTATAAAAACCCTGGGCAGAGCGGCAGTAGGGGGACAGCAGCCAAAGGGGAAGGAGTGCCTCCAAGAGCTCCACAGAGAAGCTGGGTGAGTGATCCAAAGGCGGGAAGAGGGGAGCTACAGAAGCCGCGGAGAGATGGCAGCCAAACCACAGCAAGGACTGTAGCAGAAGGTGGGGAGCTGAAGCACGAACCCTGCGAATGTAAGCTGACATGCTGCTCTTCTTGATCATATTTGCTGGTGGCAGTTATTACACATGGATGGGACTGTTTATTTTTCCCTTTTGATTATTGAATAACACTGGTGGTTTGGGTGAGGCTATTAGGGGAAGGAGGAGGCCTCATTTTTTGGGGCCCACTGTGGAGTGGGGACCCCGGCGCCAGCGAGGGCATGGCTTTTGGGGGCACAGACCCCGGCGCCAGCAAGGGCATGGCTTTTGGGGGGGTACGTAGATCCTGGAGCCCGTGGGGGTGCAGGATTTTGGGGTGCTCTGACACTGGCGCCTGAAGGCGCGATCTTAAAAGGCTGGGGAGGCCTGGTGCACCTGAGGTGAGATGTTTTTGGTTTTTTGTTTTTTTTTTTTTTTTGGGGACTGGGAGAGGGCGAGTTTGGGGCTGTCCCCTGGCCTTGAACTTGTGGCCACCCTCACTGTGGGGCCAGTGGCCTTGCTGCTGGGCCGGGGTGGGGTGGGGTGGGCAGGCTTCAGATTAGAGCTCAAGACACCAGAAAAGGCTAGAGCCTTGGAGTCAAACCCTGTTTGGTGGGTTTTAGACGGGGAAGCCTAGCTAGAGAAAGACAGGGATCAGGCCCATGTAGGCGAAAGGCCCCAACATACAAAATACAATAGGTAGTCTCCCGCTCACAAAAACATCAACAATAATTTCCATCAAGACGTGGCAGGTGAGTAGAGGGCGGGACATAAGAACTCCAAAGAAGACTCCAAGGGTGCCCCACATAGGGCGCGGATTACCAGGGAAGATGGCACTGGGGAGGGTGACTTGTTACATTTGCTA